AAGGTACCTGGGTCAACAAATATTACGTTTTTTGTTCGTTTGTTTTGTGTTTTTTGTTTTTGTGAGACAGGGTTTCTCTGTGTAGCTCTGGCTGTCCTGGAACTCACTCTGTAGACCAGGCTGGCCTTGAATTCACAGAGATCTGCCTGCCTCTGCTTCCAGAGTGCTGGGATTAAAGGTGTATGCCACCACTGCCTCGCTCAAAGATTGGTTTTTAGAAATAAACGTTTCATGATGTGTACAGATAAAAAGTACACAATTCAAGGTTGCTGCTGGATGTGAACACGTGTGTAAACAACAACCTGATTTATCAACAGAATAAAGGTGTGCACCATCACTGCCCGAAGAAGCAGGAAGTTTGAAGAATGCTTCACAGGGTCCTCTCCATTGTGCATCTTCTAAAGGGGAATGATTAGGAGAACAGAGCTGCACCGCTGGCCTCTCTGAGCGCACTCTCAAGCTCTGTGTGGGAAGAGTAACACCTTTCTAAAGGTGTCTGTCTGTCCCTGCCATAAAGGATATTAAGGACAGGAATCAAGATGAGTAATTAGATGACCTTTAAAAATCTTGAAAACAAACATGCCAGATGTGGTAGAACACACTCCAGTAACGTCTTCTTCACTCAGGAGGCTGTTAGGAGAATCATGAGCTCAATGCCAGCCTGAACTACACAGTGAGACCCTGTCTTAACAAAATAAAAAATAACACAAGTGCTAAGTGGTTAAGAGCTCTTGCTGAGGATCCAGGCTCAGTTCCCAACACCCACACAGCAGCTCACAGCCATCTGTAACTCCAGACTCAGAGGATTCTGACCTATTAAGACACCAGGCATGCATGTGATGCTTGTGAAGGCAAATGCTCATAGACATAAAATAACAATACATAAACGTTTAAAAACAAAACAGAGAGATAATCCTGGACTCTTCAAGTAACCCTAACATAATCACAGGGTCCTCAACAGCAGTAGAAGAGAGAACCCGACATGGTAGGTGATGTTCACAGACGATAGACCGAGTGATGCAGGAAGTCTCTGGAAGCATTGAGGGAAGGAAATGCAGGAGGCTCCAGTCCTGAGAACCCTGGATTTTACCCAATAAGAATCATTTGGAATCCAGACCTCCATAACAATAAGCTAGTAAATGTGTGTTGTCTGAGCCATTGAACTTCCAGTGACTTTTTACATTAAAAACCTGATACAGATGCATTAGGGAATTCAGGGAACTGAAGACCACTTGCTGGGAATTTTCTTAGCAGAAAGTTTGCCCTGTGTCTGGAGGCATTCTTGGTATTTCACTGGAAATGGAGGAGGACTAGGTGCTGGAAATTTCTAGACTGAAGAAGTCACCTAATGCTGTTGTTGGGGAAACAGCCTGTCTTAAGGATCCAGGACCAAAAGTTGTGGCAGAAACAAAACAACAACACACACATACACAAAAAAGCCAGACGGTGGTGGGGCACGCCTTTAATCCAGTACTTGGGAGGCAGAGGCAGGTGGATCTCTGTGAGTTCGAGGCCAACCTGGTCTACAGAGTGAGTTCCAGGTCAGCCAGAGCTACACAGGGAAACTGTCTCGAAAAACAAGACAAAACAAAACACAACACAACAAAACAGAAGTTGTGGTTGGTCAAAAAATAGAGAGCGTACAAAAAGAGACAGAAGTAGCAACTTCTAGTCTGAGTTTAAGAAGCCCGGGGCTCAAAAAGGGACTTAGCTGGAACTGATGATTCAAGGTTTTGAGATGGTAAAGCGAGTCTTCATTTTCCTCACGGGCTCAGGGGAACTACAAGAGTCTGAGAAACAGTAACGGCAGAAGGGCAATGAGAAGGGAGGGCAGGGAGGGGGTTAAACCAATAGGGGAGGAGAGCTACAGACAGAGGGAAACCGGACAGAGACTGGAAGATGCTGTTCCTGCCTTGGAAAATGGAAGGAGGGTCTAGGAGCCAAAACCTGAGACAGGGTTAGACGTCAGAAAACATGGGGATCCAGTTTCCCTGGAGCCAACAGAAAGAACGTGCCCGCTGACCTTTCCATCAGCCCCTTTGAGGCCCTTCACCTGCTGAGCTCTGGGGCTGCAAGTCAGTGAGTTGGTGTGAAGCCATTACATTTGTGGTGACTTGTAGCAGCCCTGGGGAACTCTTACAGCAACTTTAAGTGGCAATGCGCATTCCGGTGGCACATCCACAGTAGACAGTGGCTTCTCTGTCCGTGCTCTTAGAACTTCGGGTCTGCTTAGTTGCTGATTTTTATGTACAGCTATTTGTGAAATTTTTTAGTTTCAACCAACTCACTGAGCAACCTGGAGTACTGGACAAATTCACATGAACTACATTTGATCCTCAGAACCTATGACATGACCTATGACAGTGTCTCACCTGTTAGCTGAGTGATCTGACTGAGCCCAAGGTAGTGGAAAGTATAGACAGTGAGCACCAACCACTCCCCAGAGCCGGCCACTGCATCAAGCGCTCCACGTGTGCTACGTAGGTCAGTTTTCCTGGTTTGCAGATGAGGAAACTCAGGCATGGGGCCCAAGTCACTTTTAAAGTCCTTAGAGGTGTGGGAAGCTGGGACTGGAACTCGGGCCCTTCAGATGTCAAGAACAGAGCTTTGAGCTGTTCCCCTCATCTGCCAGGTCACTGTCACTTCACTACTGACACTGGCTGAGGGCTCCGTCCAGTCCCGCCACTAAGTCACCTCCAGGCTGTGGTGACTGTCTGGCTGCTGAACTGTACTGCAGAACTGAAAGGTGACCTCATAGGCTGGAGCTCCAAGGGCTCCCAGACTCTTGGAAGAGCATCCTGCACTGTGTCCTAGCAACAGTATGTGCCCCACTCTCTGGGGTATCAGGCATCCCCACAGTCTTGTGCATTACCCCCAGGTTCATTTTAAACAGGGAAGGGAGTCCTGTTTAGCTTCCCCCAGAGAACTGGGACTCCCAGGGAAGGAGGCTGAGCATGGTACAGAACCAGCAAGCCAAGTCCAGGGGAGCTCCTGGAAGGGCCCTTGCCGCCCTGGCTGTTCTCACCTCTCCATGGAGCTCTACCAAGCCCAGCCCCTCCCCAGCCACTGCTCACCCAGCCAGCTTTCCCCGAATCTACGCCTTCTCTCTCCTTCCCCACCCCCACATCTCTGTGCCTTCTCTTGGTTACCGATGAGAACTGCTTCTAGGCAAACTGATTTTTTTCCAGACTCTCCAGTTGTTCATATTCCTTTCCTGTCTTTCATTTTTTTTTTTTTTCAGAGCTGAGGACTGAACCCAGGGCCTTGCACTTGCTAGGCAAGCGCTCTACCACTGAGCTAAATCCCCAACACGCCTTTCCTGTCTTTCAAAAAAACAACATCTCTTTGCTTTTCCTGAAATCTTGAGCCTTACTTCAATTTTCTTCTTCTTCCTCTCCTCCTCCTCCTCTTCCTCCTCCTCCTCTTCTTCTTCTGGAAGGGTCTCATGTAGTTCAGGTTGGCTTTGGACTTGAACTTCTGATCCTCTGGCCTCTCTACATTTTGAGTGCTGGCATTATTGGCATGGACCACCGTGCCCAGCCTTCACCTAGCCTTCTGCTGTCAGAGATGTCTTAGCTAGTAGGAGTTTAGGGCTTGCCAATTGTCCAAGGGTGTCTCAGATTTTAATTATGCTATGACACCTCCAGCAACGAACCTCAGGACTAGTGGCTACTGATTGCCTGGGTCTGGACTCCCAAGCCAGGGCCTGCAGAACCCTGGTTTATAGAAAAGAGTTGGCTGGTGGTTTAGGGGCCTGAGGCTGAATTCTATCAACTGAAGTAAAAGTAGGAACAGCAGGAAACAGAAAATGAAAACCTGCAGGCATTAGCCTTCAGTGGGGTTTCTAACAGAACAAACTTCCCAGGCGTAGAGGAAACCTTCAAGGCCACAAACCCACCTTGGCATCTTGACCGGCTTTGTGAAACTACCCCTTTGACAGGCAGGGGGATGGCGTGGGAATGGACGGCGCAAAAACTCCATTAACACATACAGACGACCTGCCATCCTAGTGCATCCTCAAGAGGCTTTTCCCTAGAATGGGGTGGTGGAGGTGGTGGTGGTGGTGGTGGTGGTGGTAGTGAATTCAGTGTTCACACGGACTCACTCCTTTTTCCAGAAAGGTGGGTGGCAGAGCTTGTTAGCCGTAGGAGACTTCTAGAACTATTCTCTGGATTTCTGTCTAATCTTATTTAATCCTGTAGGCATTATAATCCCCACCAGATGGATGTGGAAACTGAGGAACAGTTATTGTTATCTCCAAGTACTCCAGCTTGTAAACTTAGCAGCTGGAATTTGAATGAGGCCAACTGGTTGCCAACCATCTGTTCTTCACCCTGGCTTGGTCGCCTCTTCCTTGACAATTCCTCAAAGGCTAAAGGGAAGTGCTCTGCAGATGCATTGTGGGAGAGCCATAGTTATCACTGTTGACTCATAATTGAGTGGAAGCATGTCCCAGAGCTGAGTACCTCCCAGTACACCTACCTATTCCTGGAGACCACACCAAGGAATTGTCTCCATATTTTTCTGTCCTCTCCCCAAACTGTCCTCCAGGTTTCCAGCAACTACCACAAAACACCCTCTTCCTATACTTCTTCCGCAATACAAGGGAGTCGGAGCAGTTACAGAGAACGCAAAGGAAATCCAGACAACCCTGGCCTTGAGATACCAGTCTACAGGGGAAACCGAATTATTTTCTACCTGGTAGATAGGACTGTCACTACAAAACCGCTCAACAAGTCCCCATTCCCTAGTCAGTGTGGAGCGGGTCTGGGTTTCCCTGCGGCGGGGTACAGCGCCCCCGCGGGGCACTCGGGGACCGCTGCGGCGCCGTGCGTCCTGCGCCTGGCCCGGCGTGGCAGGACTTCTCCCGGCCGAGGAGACCCGGCAGCGCCACCACCCTTCCCACCCTGCCCAGTGGACAGTGGCTCCCCGATTGCGTCGCGTACGTCTGTCGGTCAGTGAGTCGGTCTGTCCGTGCCGGGGCAGCGCGCCGCGCTCACCTGCAGCCACCGCCGCGGGTACCGGGGAAGCGAGGCAGGGGCGCAGCCGCGCGGATCTGTCTCCGTCGTCCGCCGCCTCGCCCCGCCGAGGACCGCAGCGCTCCTGGAGCACCGCTCCCGGGACGCGACGAAGAAGTCCGCGCCAACGCCGTGTCCTGAGCCGCCGCCTTCAAGTCCCATCCCAGAGCGCTCCCCGCGCTCGCTGGCTGCCTGCGAGGCTCTGGGCGAGGGCGGCGCGGGGAGGCGGTACCGCGCGAGGGTGGGGAGCGGGCGGGCGGAAGGAGGGGTGTCCTCTTTGGGGATGGGAAGGCGGGGAGAGGCGGCGGCCAGGGCTGCCCCACCCTGCAGACAGCCCCCAGCCCGGGACCGTGGCCGCGCTCCCTGCCTGCTGCCAACCTCATTCTCCCTGTGCGCCCTCAGCCCGAGTGGGATGGATAGGTCTCCAGAGCTAGGAGCAACTGGAGGCTTTGGGAGCTTGTCGGGCGGGCGGAAGGGGGTCCTGGTAACAGGAGACATAGCAGGAGTACTAGAACCCGAACTGGGGATTATTTTCCGCAGGAGGCATCCATCGACCACGACGATGAAGAAAGAAGTGGTGAGAATTGACGGTGACTGGCGACAAGCGCCAGGAGCAGTCTTGGCAGTCTAGGACCGCCCCACCAGCGCCAATTCATATTAACAGTATCCTCTGGCCTTGGACCAGCCCCTGGGGTGGGGAAGGAGATTAGGGTGCCAAGATGAAGAATCGAAATTCCTCCCCTGAAGGAGCAGAGTCTAGTTCAGACAAGACTTAAATTATGGGCAAGACTTCTGTAACTTTGTTAAGCGAGGGAAACCTTACCTAAGAGAGTGGCCCTCCTTGGAAGGACAGAGAAAGCAGGCCTGGTCAGTAGCAGGGAACCGAGCTGACTCCCCGACTCTACCACATCTGGGATGACAGGAATCTACAGTAGACCCGAACATCTCCCAATGAAAACGCGAATCTATCGGCCAACCGCTAAGCCAATACACCCAATCCGGGTTTTACCAAACCATCAGGGAGAACAGAACTAACCACTTTCAAGTCTTCTGGATGTGTCCGTGTTTTGGGGCTGCCTATGTTTTGTAAATACCCATCAATTCCTATTCGATAAAAGGTGTTCTCTAGAATACAAATAAACGTCATGTGCAAGACCTATTCCTTCTCAAAGCTCCAGGGGTGAGTCAAGTCTCAGCCATGGGCAGTGGTGGTGGTGGTGCACACCTTTAGTCCCAGCACCCAGGAGATAAAGGCAAATGGATCTCTGTGAGTATGAGGGCAGTGTGGTCTACATGGTGATTCCAGGCCTGCTAGGATGCCTTAGTGAGGCAGTCAAAAACATAAACAAAGGGTTAACACACTGCCAAGAAATAAGCAGGGACTCACCACCCTGCGTTCCTCACCTGAACCTTAGGTCCACAGGCTGCTGTGGGCAGCCTGCACAGGTCAGAAATAATTTTTCTGTTTGTGTGTTTGTTTTTTTGGGTTTTGTCTTTGGGAGGAAAAAGATGGAAGTCAGAAAATAGAGTAAAATCTTCAGGAAATGTTTGGTCTTGGATCCTACAGAAGAAAATTCTTCCTGAGTTAGAGCCAGTGAAACCCTCGAGGGGTTGGGAAATCTCAGCTACAAATTATGGAAACTTATATTTAAAATGTGCATCTCTATTCCAAGACACCAGTGGGATCCAGTCATTTACCAGGGAAACAACAGTTATCTGGAAATCCTTCCAGTTTTTAAGGAGGCTCTGATTTAATAATGACCCCCATTATCTGGTTTGTGCCAGCTAAAATGGGTGTTCCCACGCTCCAGGGAGTTCATGGAGATTCTTCAGAACAGGAAATCCTTGGGTGGAGCAGGACTGAGGGCAAGCAAGGCAAAGGGGTCTGATGAGTGGTTTTACCTGGTGGGGTGCTCTTCAGGTCTGCAAATCATCATAAGTGCATACACACATGCGTACATACATACATGCATATGTACACACATGCACACATACATACATGCACATATACATACATGCACATATACATACATGCATACGTACATACATGCCCACATGCATACATGCCCACATACATACATGCACACATACACACATGCATACATACATGCACATACATACACACATACATACATACATGCACACATACATACATGCATACATACACGCACACACACATACATACATGCACACATACATACATGCATACGCAATACATGCCCACATGCATACATGCACACATACATACATGCATATGTAATACATGCCCACATGCATACATGCACACATACATACATGCATACATACACGCACACACACATACATACATGCATACATACATACACACAGTGAATCAGATGAACGTTCAGTGTCCTGAACTACAGTCGGAGCAATGGTTCACCTCTGGTACCTTAGTGCAGGGCAAGGGGGTAAATGGAGATTGATGAGAAGGGCTGTTGGAAGAAAGGCCCAAATCTACCTTTTCTACCTGAGGTTCTGCTGTAGATGTGCAGAAAACCTTACTCAGAAGAAGCATGGGCTAAGGGTTCTAGCTCATGTGGGCACCCACATAAACAAACAAGAACGTCGTGTCCAGAGCTCGTGGGATGACTGGTCAGACCTTGGTAGCTGTGCCACAGATGCACTGGTCTTCTCCGTCTCTGCTGGTTAGTGTTTGTCAACTCAATACAAGCTGGAGTCATCTGGGAAGAGGGAATTAAGAACATGCCTCCGTCAGACTGGCCTGTGGGCAAATCTGGGGGGAGGCAGTTTTCTTGATTAATGATTGATTTGGGAGGGTCCAGCCTACTGTGGGTGGTGCCACCCATGGGCAGGTAGTCCTGGGTTGTATTTACAAAGGCAAGCTGAGGGGGCACAGTGGTGTGCACCTTTAGTCCCAGACTTGGGAGGCAGAGGCAGGTGGATCTTTGAGTTCCAGGCCAGCCAAGTCTACAAAGAGCAAGTTCCAGGACAGTCAGGTCTACACAGAGTGATTTCCAGGACAGTCAGGGCTACACAGAGAGACCCTATTTCAAAAAATAAAAACAAACAAAAGAAGCAAGTCATGGAGAAATCTAGTAATTAGCATTCCTGCATGGTCCCTTTGTCAGCTCCTACTCCAGATTCCGGTCTTGGCTTCCCTCAATGGACTGTGACCCAGGTTATGGAGGTCAAGCAAACCCCTTCCTCCTGAAGCTGCTTTTGATCAGTGTTTTATCCCAGCATAGAAGGCAAAACCAGCACAGGGTCTGTCGGGATCGCAGGGGCTTGTCATTTTACACAGGCCTCGAACTCATGAGGGCCTCAAATGCACACTTTTTAAAAAGATTTTTGTGTGTATGTGTTGCCTGTGAATGAAACAAAGAAAAAGGAAAAGAAAGGACATGGCTGCTCCGAGGTATGATGGAGGAGAAGGTTTATTATAGAGCAGAGTCAGAGGCAGGGATTCCTCTGATATCCAGAGTGGACATGACTGGGCTGAGCTGGGCCATGTGGGGAGAGGGGAGAGTGGGGGGCCAGGTGCAGCAGCTCGGAGGCCAAGGGTCCAAAAAGGAAATGTCTGAATTAAATAAAGAAGAGCCTCTGGGTGGAGGGTGGCCCAACCCCTGGGCTGGAGAGTTTGGGGTAAAGTGTGGGATGCTGGGAGAACCTGGCAGCCAGGTCTGCTTTGATATGTTAAATAAGTATCTCAGCTGCTTGTCCCAGGTTTGAAACTTGGCACCACATGCATGCCTAGTGCCCTTGAAGATCAGAAGAGGACATTAGATCCCCTGAGACTGGAGTTATGGGTGTTTGTGAGCCACCATGTGGTTACTGGGAATCAAACCTAGGTCCTCTGCAAGAGCAGCCAGTGCTCTTAATTGCTGAGCCGTCTCTCCACCCACCCCTCCTTTTTTTTTTAGACAGTGTCTCCATATTGCTGACCTGGAACTTACTATGTAAACCTCACTAGCCTCAAACTCATAGCTATCTGCCTTCCTCTCCCTCGGCTGAGATTAAAGTCCTGTACAACCACACCCAGTGTGAAAGATTTCTGAATAAACACATCCACCACCTTAGAAAGACAAGATGATAGGATCAAGGTAAAATAACATAACAAGTGAAAACCTTGTTGAAGAAAACAAAACACATTCTGAAGAGAATTTAGATTTTGTTTGGTGTGTTTGGTGTGTGTGTGTGTGTGTTTATGCATGGAGGCCAGACGACAGCCCTGGGTGTTATTCCTCAGGTGCTGATTGCCTTGGTGTTTGAGACAGGGTCTCTCCTTGACTGGAACTCCTGAGACAAAGTCTCTCATTGACCGGGGACTCACTGCTTAGGCTAGTGTAGATGAAATTCTAAATGGTCTTAGTAAATAAGAAACACAGAGCCAAATACATAGTTAAAGCCTAAGAGATCAGAGCAGTAGCAAAGCCCAAGACCACCTTTAGCTGCTGTCTCTCCCCTGAGAGAGAAATCTTCTCCTGTGTGACCTTTATTGCCTTTCTGTTCTACCTTTTCATTGGTTCTAACCCCAACCACATGACTTCCTCGTCACTGCCTGTCTATACAGACCTCCAGGTCTTTATGGTTGGTACTGGGATTAAAGGTTAGGGTCACCACTTGGCTGTGTCCTTGACTAGCAGACTCTGTCTGCCATGTGATTGGATTAAGGGCATGTGCCACCACCGCCAGACTTCTGCTAAATGGCTTCCTCTCAGCTCTGATCCCCAGGCAACTTTATTTATTAGCATACAAATAAAATCACATTTCAGCACAAATAAAATATTGCCATAGGCTAGACTGGCCTGCCTGTTCCAGTGATCCACTGTCTTCTGCTTCCCCAGTGCTGGGAATACAAGCTTATGTCCCATGCCTGGTTTTTGTTGTCGTTGATGTAGGTTTTGAGACTCTGACTCAGTTCCTCATGCTTGCAAGGCAGGCACTTTGCCAACTGAATATGCCCAGCCTATGGATTCCAATGTGTTTTGGGGCGTTTTTAAGGACTGAATTTTAATTTTTAATTATGTCTATATGTATGTATGTGAGTGTGGGTTTGTGCATGAGTGCAGTGTCCAGAGGCCAGAAGAGGGCATTGGATCCTTGAAGCTGAAGCTATGGATAGCTCTGAGCTCCACAGCATGGGTACCGGAAACTAAATTCTGGTCCTCCGCAG